ATAGTGCAGTGGCCTTCCTGACTAAATTTGAGCTGTGCTGTGACTGCCTCAACTGCTCCTCCCACTTCCTCTAGAAGAGCTGTCCATCACCCTGCAGATATGCAGCCAAAAGGAAAAAAATAAAAAATAAGCCTCACGCCTTTCACATGCCCAGCCCCCCTGGCTTGCCAGATTTCTCTCCCTCCTCTCTTATTTCCCAAATAAACCTGAGATAGTAATGCAGAGTCGAGGGGAAGGGGAGTGTTGCAGACAATGCTTCTGTTACAAGACTGGAAAGACCATTTAAAGCCACCTTTGGCCAAGTCCTGTACTGTTGTGGAGACCATCAAATGAAACGAGAGGTAGGAAAAATAGAGAAGCAGTGGGAAGAGTGGGTGAAAGACAAATATTGACGCTGCAAGGCATGTGGCAAAATGGATTACAGTAAAAATGAGCCAGTGGAGGGAAGGGGATCAGAGCTCTACAGTTTGCCCCTCATCTCTCAAACCGTTTGTCTTTCACATGCTCTCAGACCAGATTTCAATGTGCTGTATGGAGGTTTAGAAATGATCCACAGCCCCAGCATTTCAGAGGGCAGCAGAGAGGGGGAGGTGTACACAGGGGTCTGTCTCACTGTGACGCCATACAGCCTCGAACGGGTTGGACTCTGGGTGGCAGAGTGGAGCACATAATAAGCCAGTCCTTCCTTCTTTCTGCTTCCCTCCCTCAGTGAGGTGCCATAGTCACGTCATTGTTTGGGAAATAACTGTCCTTTTAAGACAGATCCACGCAAATGTGAGTGAAGGGGAAGCCACGTCCCCATAAATAAACTACCACAAACACTTTATCAGTCCAAATGTAACTGTCCTTTTCATTCTCCTTGTCATGGCTGAGCCCTGGCAGATCATGTTTTTAGGTAAGTGGGAGGAGGAACAGAACAGAAGGAAACTCAAATGAATCTAACCAGCTCCCCTAGAAAAATGATATGACACCAGCCTCACTGCTTATGGCAATGACTCAGCTAAGAAACAAAGGCATAAAACAAGCTCACAGGAGCAGAGTCACAGACACAGGAAGAAGCACGACCCAGATGGAATGTAGGCCTGGCACTGTTTTTCACTGTGCCCAGAGTGGAAGACATTGCATCTGGTCTGTCCTTCATAAATCAGTGTGCCCATGGCTGCCAGTACTCAGGAGGCACTCAAGTGCTGAAGGTAAAGTCATACATCAATACAAAAGGCAATCAGAATATTAGTGTTCACACAAGCAGTTTATCTGGTCACAAAATTAAAAACATAATTAAAAATATTTAGAACAACAGTAGATAAAACTCAGTTGAGGCAGCAGTGAAAAAGTCTAGATTGCCTACTCTGTTGGGCTGTCATTTTACAGCATGTTAAAACATGCTTGGCATCTGCCCGGCTGTTGTTTCTTTGGCATTGAAGTCTAACAGAGCTGCGGTGATAGTTTATTCACCCTGTATTTATTGGTGTTGCTTCCCACCACATCAGGCAAACTACTACGTATGATTAAAAAAAATGTCCTCTGCACTCCAAAGGACTGAGAAAGTTGAACTCAGTAGTAAGATTGTCTGGCAGAAAACCCAGGGCAGCCCTCCTGTAGTCTGACTAATCTCTGTCCAAGGAGAACCACTGGGGTATTATCCCCTCACCTTCTTCAGCCTCCTCTGCTCTGAATATAAATGGTCAAGAAGAAGTTCCTTAAAATTAAATACATGGATGAGTTAGCTGAATCAACCAATTTACGTCATTGATCTTCAGCACCCACATGAATACGTAAATAAAAAAGGGAGGATGCTGAGAAGAATCCATATTACAAAAACAGCTCTTCCCGTTTTATTACAGCAGTTGTTTTGTGAACAATTCCCCACTTGGACCGCAGTGTCATTACATCACCAGTATCGATGTTACATCTCAGCCCATTCTAGCTCTTACTGGGACCCCCTGAATGTGACTTACATAAACTCTGCCTAAATAACAGTGTCAGGAGAGCGCAGAAGAGCTGCAGCTTCAGCAACATCGCCTCCAGCTCCACCTGACAGCAAGGCAGCTCAGTGGTTGTAAGAGGGATCTGCTACGGCTCAGCTAGCAGCACAAAAGTGGTCACCTGAGCCTTGGCTTCTCATCCCAGCTGGGGTGCCATGTGACTCTCCATAGGCCCAGAGCCGGGTAGCTTTGTCTCTGCGTCTCTGGGGGGGGTACCACGAAAGTGAGATCAGAAACTCTGAAATCTCTGTGTACCAACACAGTGTTGCAGCTGTTTAATGGATGACATCCTATTATCTAGGGATAGGGTAGTGCTTACAAACAAGAAATGTTTTTCTATGAACAAAAAGGATGTCAATAATAATAGTGTCAGTTCTGCAGCCTTTCTCTGACCTGCTTAAACTATTAATGTTTAGGTAGACACCAAGCATTTGCCTTTGCTAGGCTACTTTATTATCTTAGTCTCTGTTGATCATACATATACAACAGTCTGTAAAATGGTTAACTGTGAGAGAAAAGGTGTGTCATCCATGACTGCCAGGCAGTGTTGTCCCTGTGGCAGTGGGGGGAGTGGCACCCCATTTCACAACACTATCTCTGTTCAAACAAGGTGGAACATTTTGTTGTACAAAGCAGCCTGCTGCATATATATGCTGTCAGGTATTTACAATGGGATACAGTGCTCCATTGTCATGATGGAGCATGCAAAAAATTAGCATCAGGTTTGATTATTTTCCTTCTTAACAAGGAGGACCACAGCAACCAGGGGTATGGTTTACTATGTAGCTAACAGTGTTTAATCCGTCGTGTTCGAGTACAAAAAATGAGCCCACAACTGGTCAGGAATTCTAGAAGTGCAGGTAAGGAATGGTGTTTACTGAAAAAAAAACTTTACCTGGGTATTGGACATTCAATCTGTCAGTTTAAAGTAAACTGTTATGTGTTTTGGCCTACATTCTTTCAACCTTTCACACCATATGTTATCCTTCCAACAAGCAGACACGTTTGACACATTTGCTGTTCATATCAGTCTACAAATAAAGCTGACAACTACAGGACATACGTATTTCACAGTTACATGGCTGATTAGAGCTGTGTAAATCACATTAATGTAGGTGGTCCTTCAGCTTATAAAGTAAGCTTACTGGGGAAGCCTGTCTGACTCACTGCCCTTCAGCAACTGTGATGATTTTCTACCTCTCCCTCAAATGATTTCTAAGTCAAATAGGAGAAATGTACAGTATATCACAAGCCTTTGTGCTCCACAAATTGCCAAAGTTCTTGTTGTTGCTTCAATAGTGATAACCATTGAAAGTCTAATCTCTTGGTTATTACAGATGGAAAATATATTAAAGTATTGACTCTGATAGTTCTATAATTACATGGTGATGTTCAAGGATTCAAACTAAATTCCTTTTTTATAACACTCGCCCTTAGTGTTTACATAAAAAACAAACCATTTAAAGTAAACAGAGCAGATTAAAACAGTTAAACTGAAAACTTGGGCTGAGCTCTGAAAGAAACATGTTTGACAGGAGGACAATAATATTTTGTTGTATGTTTTTAAAAGGTTTTGCTGTATGACCCTTCTTAAGGTGAATAAGGATTGTGTTGTTGGATACTATACTATCATCTATGGCTGTCAAGAACATGTGATGTTGGTTATCGTAATTCAACAATAAGTTATTTGAATTACAAAAGTAGTTAAATTGAACTGAAAATATCATGAAACATGTTAGACATTCCTTGAGTTAAATGTAAATCCAACAAAAACTATTTGTTCAAAAAGAAATGGCACTCACATATTCGTTGTTTACGTGTTCATATGCAAAAACACAAGTATAACAAACTACTGTCGAATATACTGATATACCAGTAATGGTTTTTAGTGTGTCAGCAAAGTAAGGTACCTTCATTTCAGTTTAAAACAGCAATTTCTACAGTGCACGATCAATAAAGTCCAACCTTAACTTTAAAAACTATATCTGGTGTTTCTACAACAGTATAGATAATTGGAGACATTTAAAGAGAGCAGTTGGTTTTCTAACGTAAATTATTGGCACTATTTCCTGGTTAGAAAGACCTGTTTCCATGGAGGAAATGGAGAAAGAGTATTATAGGTTTGCTCTGACATTTCCTAAAATTGGACTGTAATACATTTGATGCAGCAAAAGCCATAATCCAAGTCAATTTTGTCTCCAGAAAAAAAAATAGTGCTTGTGTCCTGCCACCACAACATAACAGGAAATCAAAGATATAAGTCGTGACGCATGTTAAACGACTACTTTGTTGTTAATGTTGGGAAATACACGAGTACTACAGTGTTTTATTGTGACACGTAAAAAACGTTAGCATTTCTACACTTTATAAAAGCTCTTTTAAAAAAAACAGCTGATTTTCCAAACCTCTAACTACATAAAAATCCTGCGTTGTGCAGTTGCCTCTCACTGAGTGTGTCGGCGCTGCAGTCAGTGCTGCTGATAGGGGTGTGGAGGACACAGCGTTGCTATTATGTTACCACCAACTCCCTGCTGCTGTCGCCATTTTTATAGCGCTTTTCTCAAGACGGCGAGACAACCGTATAACCGGGGAAGCCTCGCCACGAGAAGAAAAAGCCCCAAGATTGCAATCAATCGTCTCTTTCATACAATCTACCTTAGGTATCACTCCGTCGGTACATCTGTGTTGTTTCCATTAATTTTTGTGAATTTGTCAAAAAGCTGAGCTCAAGCTAATAGACAGGCAACCGTGGCCTTTGGAAACGTTACAGGCGACACGTTAACAATGCCTGAGAATTGACGCAACCAAAGCGTTAAGTGTGACTTTTGTCGAGCTTGGGATGAATTCGAATGTAGTGTGGAGAGAATCGTAGTGATTTCACCAACTCAATGCCGAAACGATAATATAAAAGGCCTTTGAAAGAAGCACACTGCGCTAGCGCTACCAATCGGAAGCTATGATCTTAATGCTTGAAGGGTTAACGTTAGCACAGGGAGCTAACGTTGACACCAGAGTGGATTAATGCTTTGCCAGTCAAAGACAGGAACAGGAGCGACAACATCGGCGGTGAGACATAACTCCTAGGGGGAAATATCCAAAGGCGATTGCATTCACATATGGTAATTTGGTGAACGCTCAAAAACAAATCGCTGCGACAGTTCGGGTTAGTGTAACTGGGATTGCCCGTCGACTGGGACTCGTAAAATTGTTTGACTGAGGCGAAAATGTCCAACTGGAACTTCCCCTCCCCCACGCTTGCAGTACTTGAACCCAATACACTCTGAATCTAAATAGGGTGATCGCATAATATAACATTGATCGAGTGCGAATACAACAAAAATGTCAGCCACCACTTCCACATGTGACATTTGATCTATTTTTGCTTTAACGTGCCATAACACAAAGCTGTAAAAGCCATGAGAGCCTATGAGATTACTGCGCAATGCAACCAGGCATTTAAGTTATTTCAACAACTGGTGCCCGCTATGAATCGGCTTCAGCACATAGTGATTGCCATCTTTTATTTGTGTTAGTGCAAGGAAATTCATTGTTCAGGGATTTTGAACAGGGGCATTGTATAGATTTAGCTGAACGGAAATAACGCCCTCATGCTCTAGGGAAAGCAGGTTGAGAGCCATTACGTCAAAGTCAAGTTTGAAACTTGTTAAAATTACGCTGGTAAGAGGCCGTGAAAATACTCAACACGGATTAATAAATAAACTTAAATAAAACAGGGGCAGACATCCACAGTTCCGACAGAATGATACAGAACGCATAGTAAATAAACTATGGAAATGCAGCGGACAGAGTCACTTGAGGTGGCAACAGTATTTACATTTTAAAAATCAGTATAAACCGTGCGCACCATTGTCCGCAGTGTCATTGTCAAACTAAACAAGCGAATCCCCAGAAGCCCTTATCTATACTCAGTTTTATGTCTGATATTAACGTTTTATATTTTAGAAGCAACATTTGTGTATAATGTGAACAGTTATGTCCGACTCTGCTCTAGATGGCGAAAAACGCTACACGTTGGGCTACGGGTTATTTGTAGCGTTTTCTTTTTCCCAACTTTATTGTAAACGTTTAATTAGCGGTGATGCTTTAAATGCCCTAAGGCATTGGGAAATACACAACAGCGACCATGAATATGTATTTTACTTTAAATTATGAGTGGAGTCTTATTTTTGCCTTAGAGGCTTATTCAGTGTCAGGCTAATTGGAGCTAAGTAGCATGCGCTAGCTAGCCAATGATCTCCTAGTGTTACGCTCCTAACTTGACACTCTCATTGGACACTTACGTCATTTTATTGTCAGTTTAATATTTTGTTTATGGGTTAATGTGGACAACGTTATTTTATACCCCACAGCACTGAACCAACGGTGTTTGTCTAACAAGTCTAACTGAGCTGATACTGTAACTACGTTAGCCAGCATCAGCGTGATGTGCCTAAGCGAAGCTAACCAAAGCCAACAATAGCTTTTCAGGTCAGGATTTGTGCTCAGGTTACAGTCAACACTAATAAAACTTAACTCACCGTTTTATGTCCACTCTTTGGGTTCAAACAGCGAAAAGGGGGACCTGGGTGAGACCCCTGTCGCTTTCCACACAGCTTCCACAACCAAAACAATACTTCTGTCCACACACTGCGGATTCCTAGCAAAGCTCCTAAATACTCGCAAACTAACGTTTCCCCTGCGGAGTCCTTTTCTGAGAAAAATCCTTTACCTTTTCCTCTAAGCGGAGCTCTAAATTTAGACTTAAAAATCTAATCGAAAAAGCTAAAACTAAGCCTTAAAAGACGGCCACTTTCAGAAATTAGATCCCCTCAAACCAATCTCTTTTCCCTTTGCAAAAATGGCGGCCCTGCCAGGACTGACGAGACCCCGCCTCCACCGCTAGCCCCCTCCTTTCCTCCCTCCCCGTCACTGAACACGAGCTCCGCCCCCTCATGCTGCGGGGCTCCCCAGTCGTTTTTACAGGGGCGCCGCGGTCGCGCGTCCATGCGCGTACGCGGCACGGCTCGTTTCTTGTCTCAGCTATTTTCGTCGCTGACGTTAAGGAATAAATTCGTGTGGAGTCGTTGCCCGTTAACGGAATTATTGTTTACGCTTTAGACGCAATCACTATTTTGATTTCAAGTAACCGTTTGAAATTGGACACTGACAAATTAACGGCAGCTTTTTTTTAAAGTTTACACAGTTTATGCCATCAAAAATTTCAGCGCAGCATTGCCTTCGGTAATGGTCATATCTTCATAATCATCTCATGAAAATTAAGTCAGCTTTGGGATGTTTCTATCAGGATGTTTTGTTTAAATTATTGCTCTTCCTTCTGACAGGTTGAAAGTGACTGAGATACAATCTCTGTGTTCACATATTCATGAGACTGTTTTTTTGTTTGTTTTTTGTAGGGTTTGAGTGGATACAAAAATAAAAATGTCTGGACTGATTTTTTTTTTATGCTGACTGTGACATGGGGCATAATAGTTTTTGTGACAAAAAAACATTATATCCCAAATGCATTAATACTTACTGTTGATCAACTTTGGAGCACAAACATATTCTGGACTTACTGGGGAGCTCATCTCCAAGTATCCATTTAAATGAGTCATGTGGACATGGCATATGCTCTTTATATTTACTTTATATAAGCTACAGTTTGTAGTCAAGGCCAGTCCAGAAAAAAAACTGCATCATAAAAAGGTTTACAATGCTCAACGACCAAATAACCTTAATGGTTTGAAACCAGATTCCTTTATTATACCACTAAGGGTGCTGGGAAAGAAGCAGCACCTAAGGTCATCCACCCAAAGCGGTAGGAGGCAGCTTTAAGCTGTTACATAACCTTTTTACAAAAGAGAACCAGTATATTGAACTGAAGTGAGGAAGGGAGAGCCGGTACCACACCAAGCAGGAAGATTAAATTATAACAGAGAAAGCAGAGCATGAGTGGAATATATTTAGAGAGGCCGTGGCATTTGAAAATTTAACCTTGAACTTCGAGGTCAAAACACCATGAACACAAGGACAACCAGAATGTTACAATATAAAACTCCTTCTTGTATTCTAATATTTCATATATCATAAACAAAATGTTAACTGGCAGAGTACATCATAGAATCCTTAACTGACTACTTCCTAAAATAGTTAATTTCATATGGAACTGATGGGAACAAATACAAATTTTAGTTGCCCTATAAAATCATTTTTCCTGTATAAAGCACTTGTGATCTTGAAGGCTTCAGATTATTCTGTCCAGCCCCTCCAGTAGACACCTTATGGACTAATAGAGAGGATTGGGCTTGTAACCAGTGGTGGGCAGGTTCAAAACTAACTCTTACTGTTGTTTAGTGTTTCTGAGCACACACCACAAAACTGTCCACTGCTCTTTGGGGATGGCTTAAATGCAGAGTACAATGACCAATAAATTAGATTTTCCTATACAATAATGCATCCATTTGTATGTTAGTCAGGTCTGAATAAGTATCCAAAAAGTGAGTTTAAAATCCATATTTATACATAGATATACATCATATTTGGGGTGACTTATAAACCTTTGAGTGCTAATGACGTTTCAGGCATTACACATGGTTAGAGTCGAATTTGATCATTGTTGTGGTTTTGTTCACACCATTCTCTCCTACCACCAGAAATCCCTTTGACATCATATGTAGTGGGGATGTTCTCATCGTTTCCATCTCTCCTCGACCCTCCCCCACACCCTCAACCGCAACCTCCGGCGCTTGCGCAGTGAGCGACAAGACCCGCAGCTGCTGCTGCAACAGCACACAAGCAAGACAGGAATATTGTTCGAAATAAACTCGGACGGAAAGGAACCGAGAAAAGTCTGGTCGATCATAGTCGCACTTCCTCTCGATATTCAATCGAAAATGATCTGATGACGCCTTTTACAGGAGGGAATGTAGAATGTTCGGGGAGAGTGTATTGATTCAAAATCCGTATTTTCCTTTGTGTTGTCCAATTAATTGCCTTTTTGGTGAGACTCTAGCGCACACTTGCTGTCGACACTTCGTTTTTTTCCTGAAGTTGTGGCTAAAATTTGTCATATTTTGAGAGGCAATGGCCGGTTTGTGATGACATCATGCAGCTAGTGTTAGTGGGCGGGCTCTGAGCTACGAGGGGAGAGGGGCGCAACCGGAGAGCAGCTGTCATCAGGCGCCATTAGGTAACAACGCAACAACTGAATACGTGCTATGTTTCAACAAAGTTTAATCAAAATCGCCATTTTGTGTTATTTCACGTTTTAGTGTGTTTTTACTTAATCCGACACTGAAGAATGGACTACCTGCGGCCAATGGTGACTTGAACTGGTCATAACAGATGTTGTTGTCGAATAGAAACAAGATGGCGTCGGAGGTTGTTTTTTTTTCCCTTTCATCCTTTTGCTGCTGGCCGTGCACAGGTCGTGCACTTATGGGCGGTGGCACCGTGCGCGTTCCCGGTACTTTGTTATTATCGTTTCCTGTTATGTTTCCCCTTTTAATCTATATCGCAGCCACAGTTACGAGCAAACACTAAGGTGACCTGAGGCTAATCCGGTCAGTGCCCGATTTAAAGACTACTAATGTAAACTAGAACGTTTTTCTTTTTATTTATTTGACTTACATTTAATCAAAAAACACCAATGGCTTTAAAATACTAATATTACGTTTTGTATTCCAGGTACTTAAGAGCATAATTATCGCATAAAAAACAACAAAAGGCTGCCAAAATAGATGTCAAAGAAAACCAATGTCGGCCTTTGGGTCCATCTAGTGGCAAGTAAAACAGTTGAAACGGACGTCTAAATAATTCACGTGCCTTTGTGTAATATTGGATTGATTTTTATAATTGTTTTTTTTTTTTTACTTTTTTGATCGCTTACATTTTCTATTTTGAACAATATTACCGTTTATTACCTTATCTTACTGTTAGATATCTAGGTTTGTTTTTACCTCCACATTTCTCACTTTCATGTTATGATAAAGTTAAGACGTCTCTGATGCAGAGAAAACATCAGATAAAACCTAATCTCACTAACCTGGTGCAGTGCCCCGAAATAGAACGACATTTTTTATTGTGCAAATTTCGTTTCTGAATATTTTGTCAGGAATTGTGAAATTTGGAACATTCCAACAATATTCTTTTAATCTTGTTATAAATATATATATATACACACATATGTATAATATCAAATAGGAAAGGCAATCAAAATATTTATTATGTTTTTTTTATATGGCCTGACCTGCTATTACGTTGTATGTGCTTTGTTGTGAGATGTCCAATAAAAATTTAAAAATCACATTTGTTTTGTCATTCTAATGCACACAAAGCTACCATTAAAGGTTAATCTCTTTGGTTGAAATGCATTTAACTCACTGTTTTTGTGCCTAATAAATCCAGACCTTACTTGAATGCCAGATAACCTAGCACGTCAGGATAGTAGAAGTATAATTACATCATTTTACATGTAGGACCTGTGTATTTAAAAAGAGTGAACATTTATAACTATAAATGAAAAACGGCTGAATTTGAGTTCACCACAAATATTGCACGCATTACTTTAACATTTTTACACAATACTTATGAGTTAAAGTAGTAATTATGCTTTCAAATAACCACAAGTTGAAAAATAAAATCAAAATCAATTGACTTTGTTGAAAAAGATAAATGAGGACGAAATATTAGCAGAGTGACGACATTATTTGTAACGAATATTGTAGGAATTAAAGTCCATTATACATCTTTAAAGTCAAAGTTCATTCCATACCAGAACGACAGGGGGTGCTAAGTGACATAATGTGACAAATCCGTTTCATCCAGCCAATCAGCTCCAACGTTCAACTATAGCCTATGTTCTGTCCAATCACAAGCGACGTTGTTGGAAAGCCCTGTGTTGACGGCGGAGAAGGTGACTCTCCGTCGATAGCCGTAGCAGAACACAAAAATAGCGACATTTAAGCCCAAAATATCGGCGTTAACTGAATAACCGACCATGTCTTCGATTGTAAGGGCACTGGGGGCTCTACGGAACAACTTCCAGCAGATCAGAATGTAAGTGGAGTTCATTAGCTAAAGCATAATCTCCCAGATAGAATGCTAACACAAGAATCTTCGACCTAAGTGATCGTGTGTTCTACATTGGGTTGTGTTTCTGACCACGTTAGTCGTTGCCTTAAATGGTTAACATTTAAGGCAACGACTAACGATTTGACGGATCGAAATATAATTGATTTTAATCCGAGCCAAACTCTGGAAAAGAAAATCTCGAATTTGATTTTTGAGTAATGTTTTTGTCTTTCATCGCTCTGTCGGGTTACTGTGACACAGGTTGGAGTCACAGTAAGTATTTAGTCATTAAACGCTGTTGCTGGGTCCTTATTGGGACAGCAGTCGTGTTTTTTTTTTACCGCCTGATTAATTGAAATTTTAACTACTTTTCGAAGCATGCTAATTGTCTGATCTATATCATCATATAGCAGTTATTTTTTAGTTGAGGTGAATTCATTTTTTCTTGATCTTGAACTAGATTTCAACTGTGGCAGAAATACATTTCTTCCGAGTACTATCATGCTGAGCATTATGCTACCCTACCACTAAGTAACATTACCTCAACCTTGTCTATTATGTTTTTCCTTGTTATAATGACAGTACTCGTCCACACATCGAGGCACAGTACAGACAGTTTCCTCAACTGACCAAGCGGCAGCTATTTCAGTCTGAACTCATCAGCGGTACCATGTGGTTCTGGATCCTTTGGAATTTCTGGAAAAGTCCTGAGGAAGTGCTGGTCAGTGAACATTTTATTTTTAACTGCGAAAAAGACATGTTGGTGACCTTAAACATTTTTTTTAAATAAAATATTTAATTTGAGGTTATTATTTGTCACATTTTACACGTGGATGCACATTTGAATTTTATTTTGGGGGGGGGTATTTTATTCTAAAATTTGAATGATCCTACACTTTTGACTCAGATGAAGGGCATTTTTGACAAATTCTGCAATTGGATTAACTAGGTATTTGATATTGGAGATGTGATTAGGAGAAACAAGCTCCTAAAAATACATGATCTACTGTCTTAACAAGGCTAAAAATACACAACATGTTGAGTATGTGAGTCCTAAACATGAAACTTCTTACCAGGGTCACTTCCCTTATCCTGACATTTCCAAATGGACGGATGAGGAGCTCGGAATCCCACCAGATGATGAGGAATAAGGTGATTTCCTTTAAGTTGACATGACTCACAAGTAGTATATGATTCCAAAACACAAAACTTCCTGTAAGACAAAAGTGGCAGCAAACTTCAATGAAAAACAAAATTCTGAGTTTTACATTGAACACTTTTTTTTTTTTTTTTTAACCTTTTCAGATGATGGATTCACGCAGTCTGCACATTGTGCTGCCGGTGGCTGTTTGTACATAGGCTAATAAAATTCTAAAAATCAGTGAAGTGTTTTGTTTGGTTATAAAACTGAAGCAGCTCACAAGTCTTATTTCACTGAATTTTATTTACACGCAATTTTTTTTTCTTTGAAATGCTGAAACAAGACTCATTAAACAGTGTCACAGTTAGCCAGTGTTTGTATATTTTAAATCATAAGCCTATTAAATCAGAACCAAAAACAAACAAACACTAAAAAGAGCTGCAGACAAACAGGAGAAAGAAAAAGGGATGACAGATCTGTGCAGCAGATACTACAGGTGATTAGAAACCCTGCCTGCGGGCCTGCATGTGTGTTGTTGGTTTCGTTTTTGTGTGGAAGTATCGTGTAAAGGAAGAGGCTGACATAATTATAACTACTCTGAGAATCTGATTAGCTCTAATTTAATACAGGGATAACAGTGAGACAGTGTCGGGGTCAAGTCGACCTGAGTAAAACTTTTACAAAGACTGATTTTTTTTTTTTGGAGAGGAGTTATGTTAAAGCTACTTGGCAGAAACTCGTTGCTGCAAAGAAGACTTGCATTGATGCCTAAGCAAAGTTGTGTTTAGACAGGAAATGGGATATTCATTGTCCACTCCCACACCATCATGCTTTACTGTCCAATTTCCTTTAAACTGAATTAGAACTAACCAATAGATGGGCAACAGCCAACCAGAATATTAAAACAAGACACTCAAACTTAAATGGAATTTTTGCCACTAGTAGAGGTGCTCTGTCATTCTCTACTTCTACCTAAGCTTCACTTAGAGACAGGTGGACGATGTTGACAGGTGACAAACAGGCGAAGACTAATTTCGCCCATAAAACTTTGGCATTTGGGAGTTTATTTAGAAAAATGTCTAATTCTCCATGTTCACCAAAAACTGTAGCTTTACCATAAGGCTAAGAATGTGAGAAAGCAGTGAAAGAAACAAAAAAAAAAAAACCATTCCAAAGTCAGCCGAGTGTGACGGGAGGCTGACTACACTCACCAATGACTGAAGAAACACAAGAAAACCTCAGGAGGAGGTGAAGCGTTAAAAGTGTGGAGTGAATGCTGTGGAAGTTGAGCTGGTGGTGAATGGAAACACATCCTTGGCATCTTTCCCTGAGACTGAACATCTGCACATCATCATCAGAAAGGTAACAATAACATCAACTTTGGATTCAACACAGTGGCTCAGAATACTTGTGTTTTTTTTGTTTGTTTTTTGTTTTGCTAAGTGGCACCAGTTTAAAAAATTAGCTCAGGTGTTGACATGGAAACAGACATTTTAATGCTCATCCTAACCTTGTCTGTCAGCACACACAGCCAAAGACCTCAGGTGACAGGGAGTAGAGAGAGAGAAAAAAAACTGCCCACAAAATCAATATAAGATCCAGATGTGAACCAAAGCAAAAGGGAGGAAGAGAAAGCGAAAAAAGGACTTGTCTGTAAACTGCTACTCCAATAAATCCTGATCCAAGGTCTCTAAGAACATTCACAAATACAAAAAATAGACCATAAAGATGAAAAAAAAAGAACCCCACAGAATTGCTTAAGGATTCAGAATCAGAATAAAATAAACATCTCTTTCAAATAATAAATACATAATTCAGAATCCATTTAAAAATAACACATTAACAAATCAAAAACAATGTCACAGATAAAAACACGAAATAAATTAATGCAGGTCATTATTCACACACGTGAACGACTCCAAAAATTCCTATTTGCAGAGGAGAAAAATAAAAAGGCAGCAGGTGGAGCAACTCTTCATCCAAACATGAGCAGTAACTCCTTCTAATCCTCCTACAACAGTGAGGGTCGGAGAGGACTTTTGGACTAGTCTGTGATTCTTCTATGTCTACGAGGAGGAGACGGGAGAGAGGGATGCTCCGCCACCGTGCTGCTCCTCACTCCCTGAACCTTCCTCCACGTTATTGCTGGTGAGTTTGAGATCAGAGGAGGGAGGGCGAGAGACAGAGAGAGAGGGAGGAAGAGGTGGTCGGAAAAAAGAGGTAAAGTCTGAGAAGGAAGAGAGGTGAGTATGAGTGGAGCAAAGTATACACAATAAGCACCATTTGCCTGCGTTCTTTGTCCTCCTTGGCACCATGTTTTCTATTCCTTATAGTATAAGAGGAAACTTGGGGTCGGGGAGTGGGGCGACCTTCTCTGTCCGTTAAGAGCCGCAGCCTGATTTCCTTACACGTTTGACCGGCCAGGGTTTTGTTCATATTCCGACGTGAATTTGAACACAAACCTCAAGTTTGATCAACTGGTTTTTTCGTTGTCAACGAGTGATAATCAAATTTGTTTTCCAAAATAACTACACCCCTGTGGACAGAAGATGAAATAAAAAGGTAATAAAATCTGTCCTGAAGTAGTAAAAATGTTTCTCCACTGGTGTGGTGACATGTGACCAAAAAAGTCAACAAAAAGAACCTCTGTCCCACCAGTGTCCCAGGTGTCAGTAACATCTCCAGCATCTTCTTAAATAAGGAAGTCAATTGACTTTGAGGCGTTTTCAAATTGATGACGAGCCGCGATGGTGCCCCCTCCTGGCCCAGATGGTGGAAAGCAGGCCATATACACTTGTACATGCAACTACAAAAACACTCGTTGTTGACTGATAATACGTTGAACGTCTGCAGACACTGAAGGTGAGCCGGGCATCTGGTAGCAGATCGGATGCGAATGATTATAGCGTCAGACGTGGTAGATAATCTCCATGTCTCCAGAGTGATGTTTCTTTTTTGTTGCTGTTGTTTTCTTTAGTTAAACACCCCCCAGTAAAGTTCATGTCTTTTTTCCCTAATTTCTCTCCTGCAGAGGGCGTCATGCGCTCGTCTTCGTATCTCCTCCAGACTCTGTTCCTTAGGGTGCTTGTGTGGTAGAGGTGCACGTGACGTTTCAGTGCAGTACCCTGTCTCCTGATCATGCATCACGGAGGAGTCACCTTTTTTTCCCCCTGCGGTCCAGGTTCTAAAGCCCACCACCCTCCAAGCCTACAGCCCCTTTCAACTTTCTACAGCACCAAAGTGTCCAATAACAGACCAAACAACTTTCTTCTTCCCCCTCCAAAGGACAACATCTGCAGCTCCTTTTTTTATTGTCCGTGGTGTTTTCTGTTTTTTTTTATTTTATTTTAGGGGGAGTTGAGTGTTAGACAAAGACTCGACTGTGTCTGTTGAGTTTCAGGATTTTTCCCAGTCTCTGCTTGGCTGTAGCCATTCCTTTTTTGGGCCGTTTGCCTGGAAAAATCAACAAAGGAAAAAAAAAACAAAAACAGAAAACCAGAGATTAATCAAATCATAGAAACATGACTGAGTGTCACTGTACGATTCATGATGAAGAGTTTGAAGTATTTCCATCAATTTTTACCAGGTTAAATGTTAGACTACAAAGTGTTGTGTTGTTACTGTAGCTCTAATGGACAGAGAAGCCAACGCTGCTGGACTTGTTAGTGTCACCGAGATAAATCTGGATGAAATATTTAAATAATAAAACCCTACAGTAACAGAAGTGGCAGTGATCTATAACATCTCTGGGCCTTGACACAAACATCTCAGATACTCAGATTACTCCAGACAAAAAAAAACGTAGGACAAGCAAAAGGAATGGTCAAACCTTTGGTGGCCTGATTGCTTATGGGTGGGGGGTTCGGCGCATGTCTCTTAGATGGGTGCAGAGCAGGAGACATGGAGGGGTCACAGTACTGGTAGTCCGTCTCTGGGCTGGTGGCGTGGCTTCCACTGAGGGGGCTGGGGGGCCCCTGATTGTCCCAGGCCTCGCTGCTGCTGTTGCCTTGACTGTCCATCGGACTCTTGGCTCCCTGCAGGAGGCGCTGGTGCGGTGCAGCCTCCCTCTGCTCTGTTCCCAAGCACTGGCTGGGGCTGGACCACCACATGTCTTGAGGCGAGGCTACCTTCTCTGGCTCGGAGGAACACAGCAGGCCGGCCATGGAGAGCATGCCCTGAATGGCCTGTTCTGTGCTGGGTGAGGTAGGACGGTCTCTGCAGGAAGAAGCCAAAAACAACATTCCAGTTGGTCATGAATCCACACGTGCAGAGACAAACATCCTGGTGGGAATATATTTTCAGTGTATTTTCAAGGTGTTTCTCACCGTTTGAGTGGTCTGTGTTTATGCCTGAGTTTCTGAACAGACTGGTCCAGCTCTATAGTGTGCCCTGAGCCTTTCTGTTGAGATGATCTCATCTCCTCCTCCTGCTCTTCCTGGGAACTCTCTGAATCCTCTTCAGAAGAGGAGGACGATGACGAAGACGCTTTACACTGGATTAGTTAAGAAAAAATAAAAATCAGTTTCATTCCAAAAATAGAGTTAATTCATCTTTAAAAATGTCTTTTGGAACTACAGCATCACGATGCTCGATACACCATAGCAACCACTAGGTGGCATGAAAATACAATTTACTTGAAATAAATTGCACATCACGGTAACATGTCAACGAATTAAAGCATTAATCATTCATCCATATTTACAGGCTGTATTACTGAGATTTTGTGACACATCTTCCAGGAAAAATAAACAAAAATATCATATACCTCTGTGGAAGAATCACTGTCAGAGTCCACGTCCGACACACCAGAGAGTCCTGAGACTTCTTCCCTGAGTTCAATCTTCACCTTCTCCAGCCCTCCTGGAAAGTGGAGTACACATAATGGTCAAACCTTTGGTGGCCTGATTGCTTATGGGTGGGGGGTTCGGCGCATGTCTCTTAGATGGGTGCAGAGCAGGAGACATGGAGGGGTCACAGTACTGGTAGTCCGTCTCTGGGCTGGTGGCGTGGCTTCCACTGAGGGGGCTGGGGGGCCCCTGATTGTCCCAGGCCTCGCTGCTGCTGTTGCCTTGACTGTCCATCGGACTCTTGGCTCCCTGCAGGAGGCGCTGGTGCGGTGCAGCCTCCCTCTGCTCTGTTCCCAAGCACTGGCTGGGGCTGGACCACCACATGTCTTGAGGCGAGGCTACCTTCTCTGGCTCGGAGGAACACAGCAGGCCGGCCATGGAGAGCATGCCCTGAATGGCCTGTTCTGTGCTGGGTGAGGTAGGACGGTCTCTGCAGGAAGAAGCCAAAAACAACATTCCAGTTGGTCATGAATCCACACGTGCAGAGACAAACATCCTGGTGGGAATATATTTTCAGTGTATTTTCAAGGTGTTTCTCACCGTTTGAGTGGTCTGTGTTTATGCCTGAGTTTCTGAACAGACTGGTCCAGCTCTATAGTGTGCCCTGAGCCTTTCTGTTGAGATGATCTCATCTCCTCCTCCTGCTCTTCCTGGGAACTCTCTGAATCCTCTTCAGAGGAGGAGGACGATGACGAAGACGCTTTACACTGGATTAGTTAAGAAAAAATAAAAATCAGTTTCATTCCAAAAATAAAGTTAATTCATCTTTAAAAATGTCTTTTGGAACTACGGCATCACGATGCTCGATACACCATAGCAACCACTAGGTGGCATGAAAATACAATTTACTTGAAATAAATTGCACATCACGGTAACATGTCAACGAATTAAAGCATTAATCATTCATCCATATTTACAGGCTGTATTACTGAGATTTTGTGACACATCTTCCAGGAAAAATAAACAAAAATATCATATACCTCTGTGGAAGAATCACTGTCAGAGTCCACGTCCGACACACCAGAGAGTCCTGAGACTTCTTCCCTGAGTTCAATCTTCACCTTCTCCAGCCCTCCTGGAAAGAGGAGTACACATGGTCAGCAAAAATGTTGACTCAGTTAACAGTATGACATTTATCTTGAAAAAAATATATAATTTTCACAAGGACAGATGTCTAAGAAGTGACTCACTGAAGCCTGTCGGTTTCTCGCTTGTTCTGTACTGCCCTCTGCTGTCCAGCATCCGCTCAGACTTCACATCCACGCTGCACTTTGGTGGACCTTGCACTGGGGAGTGTTCACTTTCCGTCTTGACCGGACTAGAGCCTGGTCGCCTCATGTCTCTGCACACAGAAATCCAAGTTGAAACAGGTGACAAAAAAAACAGGCACACAATTGATCAGCTTAGCCTTTTTTCCATTCAAGTTGAACATTTGAAGTTGAACACAATTGATCAGCTTAGCCTTTTTTCAAGGATGGAACATTGGGTCACAGAATATTTAAATTAATTCCTTGTTTAGGCCAAAGCTCTTACCTAATGATTCGGCCGTTGACTAGCATTAACCGAAGGTGGTTGTCCTCTAAAGACTCTGCAGCAGCTGCTGCTGATGCAGTGGAGACTTTGTTGAGTTTCCCGTGAACCTTGGCACAGAACGCTGGGTCCTGAGAAAGAAGAAATACAGTCAATCCACAGGACAATGGTGGACCCACTAGCTGTGGAACTTATGTATAAGAAAATATTAAGCACCAAGTCTGCCTTTGTGCAACATTAAAGTTTCATAGGAAAAACAGTACACGTGGGCATGCAAACAGTCCCAATTTTCCAGTGCAATTTATAGCTCTCACCTCCTCCAGCGGTCCCACCTCCAGCCTCTTCAACACCTCTCTAGTGTGCTGCTCCAAGATGTCCAGGTTGGAGGGCAATTTAGGAGCTTGGCGCTGCTGCTCCCTGAGCCGTCTAGCGGCCCTCCGTGCCTGCCGTGCCTGGCACAGCTTCTCCAGAGTGGAGCGTGTGGTCGGGCAGCCGTTGGATCCAGATGGTAGTCCACAGCCACCTCCCTGAGATTTCACTGGTTTGCCAACACTAAGTGGCTCCTCCTTAAGGTACCAAAGCACAGTCGGTGTCAGGTAGAGCAACAAATGAACTTAAAAAAAACAAGCAAGCCACAGGTCGAGGTTAATTCATACCGACTCATTCTGGCCTCCACTTTAGTGGTTACTTTAATGTGGCCACAGAAAGGCATGTGCATAGCTTTTAGCATGTCTTTTTAGGAAAATTAAGTTTTAAGGTCTTACCTCGACGTGACGGATTTCCTTGGTCAGCTCTTTAATAAGATGATTGGGCCTGACATTGTCTGGTACCTCACTGCTGGGCTCAGTCACCTAAAAAAGCAGCAGAGACCATGTTAAAAAAAAGAATCAGGACTGTTGGTATTTGATGATGTTTACTGCGAGTGTAGAAAAGGCAGAAATTGTCCTGAGAAGAGTTGAACTGAACTGCTCTCACCTCTCTTTTCAACCAGGTCTTCAAAGCACCAATTAAAGCCTTCACTCCTTCTACCAGGTAGTTTGGTGGAGGACAGCTGTCTTCACGAAGCTCTGAGGGGGAAAAAAAAAGTAGGTTGAGTTAATAACGAATACACTACATCAATACTCTAATACAAAGATGTCACATTTAGAAAATGTTGACTTATCTTGATTAATCTACAGCTTATCTGTGATTAGTGAGATTCTTTTTATAAATCATTTCAAAGCTAGTTATAGCGAGTTATAGTGATAAAACATCGTACATGGTTTATAAGTTTAAAGTTTACATATAATGATGACTAACTACTCTTGGAGTCTGGACTAACTCCAAATCCACAGAATGTGTTGTCAAACGTGTTTCTTTACAGGCTTTATGTACATAAAACTGTACTCACCTTTCAGCATTTCTAGGAGGTTTTTGGCCACATACCAACAGATGGCCTCAAAGTATGGAAACTTAAAGAGGTCTGGCGTTTTCAGACGTCGCTCCATTTCATAACACCTGAGTGAGTCAGGATATGTGAACAGACAAGAGAAAAAAAAAACATTAAAGAAAATGAAGACAACAGAAAATAATTAAATGCTATCACGGCCCATGGGTGTTCACCTGAGCTGCATGCCAATGTTGAGGTTGTGAAGGAAGTTCCCTCCAAATGCCATGCAATCCTGAGAGGTGAGAACACCATGGATCCAGCCTGCAGGGGGCGCCAGAGTACTAAACGTTAACAGCTTATACACAATACGATATTTTAAATTCTAATATGGACTTTTACTAGGCTGACTCACTGGTATTTTAAATATACACAAGTATACACACCAGTCCCTGGTGCCTGTGTACAAAGAACAGTTTATCCTCTCAGTGTCTGACGTAAAGGGAGACAAGTTTATCTAATACAGATTGCCTCCTCCACTCAGATAGGTCACGATGTTTTCACGTCACAAAGGGAGAGAAATAAGAATTTGGGGGGCAGGTGGGGGAGGAGTTGGTATAAGACTGATGGACAGGCTTGATAATGCCTTTGCTGACTGACCTGCTCTGCTCTCTGACCCCCACGTATCCCCACCTCTCTGCAACCTTTTTGCTTAAAACTCCCCTTTCACAGCACTGCTTCAACCTGCTGTGAAGGAATGGCTGCAGCACTGATGGAGGATCTGCAGCAGGATGAACTTGTTTTTTGTCTTTTTCAGAGCAGTGG